TACAGTTTTATTACACCGTAATGAAATTACAAATTCTTTTTTGGCTGAAAGTAATAAAAGGTAAGGTGAAAAAGTAAGTAAAAAAACAAAATGTTAAAATAACATAAGATTAGGCAGTAAAAAATTAATGCAGTTTGTGTTTTTCAAAACACACTTTCAGATAACGTGTACGGTATATATGTAGGAAATGCAGTTAAGTATATAACCCTAGAGTAAGAAAATATAGCAATGAAAATCAAACATTGCCCGCTAATTATTCATTCCCGTAAGGCACTCCTCGCATGACACTGACGTAATTTGCTATCAGCAGTAAAAACTGCGAGTAAAATTCAAATCACCGCATGTAACACACATTATGTACGAAGCTAGAACATTACACTTTGCATGCGATTTGATCAATCTTCATTATTTTTGAATCAACTGTAATTGGATTTTATAGTCTTACATTTATTGATGTTAAATAAGTTTCTGTGTAATAATACCCATAAGGCTATGCAAATCAACAATAAATTAATTATTATTGACATATGGTGTTCATTGCAATAGAGATAATACAGGCAGTAATTACAGTTGCTGGAGATGTATTTGTTTAATGTAATTGAAAGCCAGGTGATTGATAGCGTTGTTTGCATACATATGGGAAGCACTTGCGGTTCTGGATTCTCAATAGCTTTGTCTTGCCTGATTTGACTACATATATTCTTGTTGCTTTGTATCAAAGAAAGGTAATTCATATTTTCGCTATATGATTTATATTTGTTTAGATTAGTATATGAGGGACGAGGGAAAATATTAATTTACAGTAGCGTGAGTACGTGATTGATTTTTTGTGTATAATTTATTTGTTTTACAAGCGTTGTTGTTTGTATCATTTCGAATAATGGATCAGATTGCAGTTCATCATACAAGGATTGAGTCCATTTATTTATTGGGAACATTGGGAACGGAAATGAAATACTGATAGCCATCATAAAATTGTGTTTATTTATAAGAACGATGGCCTGATTGAATATATTTGCTCTATTCTCATTGTATTGTACATGTTAAATGGTTAAATGTATGGTCATTTCTATTCATGAAGCACAATTGTGTTAAATAAAAAAAGTGCTGTACAAATAGATTAATTCAGCAGACAGTGACTCGTTTATGGTTTCGAATTTTCTAGTATTTCTCTTGTGACCACTAAAGGACACACGTCCTGGCTTTTTTTGGTTGTATTAAGTATTTTCCAATTTTCAGGGAGGAGCTATGTCACAGAACGTTCTATGTCGCTAACTGTAGCATGTATTTCTATAGGCTTTGTGGAACACCATGAAAACAGCATAAATTCAACTAAGAGACAATCCTTAACAACCAAATTTATATAAGTTGTATGGGTAATCTTGTTATACTGTTCAGGAGAATCTCAACAACTAGCCCAAAATACAGTTTTCTGTGAGTTTTTGGCCTTTGTTTTCACCATGATGGTTGCCAAGCGGTGAAAATGCCCGGATGTCCCAAGGATAGAAAAACAACAGTTAGTTTGAAACATGGACTCTGTCCTTGATATCTATGTATGGTGATATACGATGAATAAATGTATTGTAATATTTTATTTATCCATGGCTAATTTTCAGGTAACTCTGGATAGGCATTAATTATACATATTTTTTACAATTGGCACCACAAAATGCAGTGGAAATGTCAATTGCGTAAACTATAATAAGTGTTATACATAGCTCCATATGAAAATAAAAAGTGCATATAATACTTATGCTTTGGAGGTAAGAAGTGACTCTAAGAAACAACCAAACACTGACCAGTTCTTTCACAGAATCATTCATTTACATTTACATTTAGTATTACAGTCAATTAAACCTGCGTTAGAGACTCAAGTCATAACATATCAGCAACCTGTGTATAAAGACCACCTGCTTATAGTGACCACTTTTGGGTAGTTCCAAGGCATAATGTATTAGCAACCTGTGTATATAGACTACCTGCCTATAGTGACCATTTTTAGGCAGTCCCAAGGCAAAACGAATGAGAAACCTGTGTATAAAGATCACCTGCCTATAGTGACCATTTTTAGGCAGTTCCATGGCATAACGAATGCGTAACCGGTGTATAAAGACCGCCTGTTTATAGTGACCATTTTTAAGCAGTCCCAAGGCATAACGAATGAGCAACCTGTGTATAAAGATCACCTACCTATAGTGACCATTTTTAGGCAGTTCCATGGCATAACGAATGCGTAACCGGTGTATAAAGACCGCCTGTTTATAGTGACCATTTTTAAGCAGTCCCAAGGCATAATGTATGAGCAACCTGTCTATAAAGACCACTTGTCTATAGTGACCATTTTCAGGGAGTCCCAAAGCATAAGGGACGACGTCAAAAGATCGATGTCGGATAAAAAACTTATTTCCTTTAGTTTGGGGGGGGGGGGGTTTAACCTCAAAAAGTTTCCATCCTACAAAAATGATTTTATTTTTTAATGAAGTCAAAAAAATCTTGTAGTATTTGTAGTTCGTTTTTTTTCTATCCAATTATGGACAGAAATAGCCGAAAAGGAAAAAAAACAGAAAAATGGTTTAGTTCGAGTGTAAATCTGCATTTGTAAAATCTTTTTACACCCACCCGACAACCAACGTCTATGCAATACTACTGTCCGATTATCAATTTGTATTTAATGGTGAATGTAGTCTGACGCCATGACCAATATTTATCAATTAAGTTTCAGGGGGGTAGGGGGGTTTGGAAAAAAAATAAAGGAATTAAGTTTTTTATCCGACATCGATCTTTTGACGTCGTCCCTAAAAAATGAGCAACTTGTATATAAAGACCACCTTCCTATAGTGACCAAATTTGGGTAGTCCCAAAGCATAATGTATGAGCAACCTGTGTATAAAGACCACCTGCCTATAGTGACCAAATTTAGGTGGTTCCAAAGCATAATGTATGAGCAACCTGTCTATAAAGACCACCTTCCTATAGTGACTAAATTTGGGTAGTCCCAAAGCATAATGTATGAGCAACCTGTGTATAAAGACCACCTGCCTATAGTGACCAGTTTTAGGCAGTTCCAAGGCATAATGTATGAACAACCGGTGTATAAAGACCACCTGCCTATAGTGACCATTTTTAGGCAGTTCCATGGCATAACGAATGCGTAACCGGTGTATAAAGACCGCCTGTTTATAGTGACCATTTTTAAGCAGTCCCAAGGCATAACGAATGAGCAACCTGTGTATAAAGATCACCTGCCTATAGTGACCATTTTTAGGCAGTTCCATAGCATAACGAATGCGTAACCGGTGTATAAAGACCGCCTGTTTATAGTGACCATTTTCAGGGAGTCCCAAGGCATAAAAAATGAGCAACTTGTATATAAAGACCACCTTCCTATAGTGACCAAATTTGGGTAGTCCCAAAGCATAATGTATGAGCAACCTGTGTATAAAGACCACCTGCCTATAGTGACCAGTTTTAGGCAGTTCTAAGGCATAATGTATGAACAACATTTGTATAAAGACCACCTGCCTATAGTGACCAGTTTTAGGCAGTTCCAAGGCATAATGTATGAACAACCGGTGTATAAAGACCACCTGTCTATAGTGACCACTTTTGGGTAGTCCCAAGGCATTACGTTTGCGTAACCTGTGTATAAAGACCACCTGCCTTTAGTGATCATTTTTAGGCAGTCCCAAATTTAAATAAGCATAATATCTGATTATTAGTTATGATTCCATTAGTTGATGGAAATAAAAAAAAAATTTTGACAAACATCTCTGCGTAAAATTCTGGGTTGCAAAACTGACGCATACATGTACAAGACATTTTGCATATGCATTTCTTGCAGGGATTTCACATGACATTTTACTTTACAATTTTTAATGCAATATACATGTTTCTTGAGGTAAAAAGACATAACATGTAACCTTAAAATGGAAACTGAGTTTATTACTTTCTGTTGTCATGACAACACCACAGGCGGCAATCACCTTTAGTGTATATCACCAAAAAGATATTACCTAGTTGCAATGCATTAATGTGTTTGCACTCAGTCAAGAATGTCAGTTACATCTACTTAGTAAAAAATATGTTTTTCTTAATGTTTGATGTATTTTCTGTAGTTTAACCAAACTTGACAAATATCTAGGGATGTCAGTCACAGTTGGTTGTACACCGTAAAAACTTTCACATTTGCACTTTCTCATTTATATAAAGAAAAACTGTGTAAAATTTAATATTTTTAGCTAGAAATTATGATTTTATTGAAATACTGTAAAAGTTTCATATGCACATATATAAGAGATGGGAGTCAAACTCTAAAAAAGACTACACATGCATTAAGAGTTTTTAAAATCACTTCCAAAATTACCCGGTATATTGTGTTAAAGCATTATTAGTCATTGCGCAGCGCGTGTTCGAATTTCATGTAAATAAACAATGTATTTTACACGCGTTGTATACACCCTTTAAGCTAGACTGGCGCAGTCGGGGCGATTAATTTGTTTTTGTAGTTTAAATAAAATAAAACAAATCGCAAAATGGAGGTGTTAGCACGAAATAATCCCCGACTGGTTTATTCTGCAGGAAATTCATTGCTATTAAATATTCATGAGCACATATTATAATGAGGTGGGCGCGGAAATACGTGCATAATGGATCAACATGGTAAAGGTCACACTGCAGACCCAACACAGTGGCACGTTGAAATTCGAGTTTGTCATAGTCGTCGTTTCTAATTTATCACAATGTGTAAAAAAGTAACTCGTACTAGTCGTAGAAATAAAAAAAAAAATCGGCTGCTACAATCAGCCGACGTCTTCTCAGTCAGAGGTCAGTTGAAGAGACGTTGTGATTG